CTGGAAATGTTGAAAATGTGTCAGGTAACCTGGAAATTTATGAATCTGAAAATGTAATTGAAGTGTGTAGCACGTCGCAGGTTGAAAAGTTGAAATTCTTCCTGTTCAGTCGCACAGCGGAAGCCCGTGCACTACAAAATGTGTTCCGTATGAGTATAACTGGGCTGGTCGACGCACAGACGCAGATGAGTGTGAAAAGCCTAAATTTGTGAATCAGACTCTAGCGGACTTAAAAAACGCGATTATTGAAGTTGATGGTCAGGTTGTGAAAATGGTGTATGAAGATGAGTCCAGTGATGTGGATAAACTTAAAAGCGCGTCCGAAGGTCCGCGGGGATTCAATCCCCAGAACCCATCCACTTAACCGCTGTCTTACGGTGACTGTATGTGTGCGGACTGAGTCGCTTTGGTAACCGCCTCGAGTTGCAATGCTGACTGAAAAAATGTTTTTGCTGGTATTTCGCAGTTTCAAAGTGGTGTTTTATTTTATTTTTATTCTTCATCGCGGATGTTTTTTATTTGATTTTTCATCGGCGATTTACATTAAATTTAATTGTGCCACTAAAAATCTTCATTATTGCGTTCCGACGTTTTTCCTGTTTGTGTTTACTCCGACTGCCGTGCTGCCATCTTTCTCACTCTGCCTACGCTCAATCTCCATCCCGTCCAGGATCCTCTCCTCATTTGCCATCTCATTCAGTCACCCGTGGAGGAGGCTCAGGAGGATCAGTCATTCGTTCTTAGACGGAGGATGGATTTGCCCGCCTTTGCCCAGTCGTGAGCATGAGAACTCGTTTAGTTTTTTATTCCTGTTTTGCTTTTCTTTTCTGTTCTTTTTGTGTTGGGTTCCCCAAAAGCCGTTTGCGGGGGTGACGTGATATAGCATACGGTAGCGATGTAGTACGTAAAGTGACGGCTTTACTCGTACATTCTACTTTCTCGACGTTTCTCTTTTGTGTACGGATTTTAATACTTTTGGTTGTTTCAACACGGATGCGCCGTGTCTATATAAGTCCGAGAGTTGCAGTACGTTGATCGTCAGTTCTCTCATTACGAGTTTTGGCAGTGATCGGAGTTTAGAATAAAATATTCGTCGGAGATGCAGTTCTCGCTTCGCGTAGATTCGTAGGCTTAGCTATGCCACATTGCGATTATTAGCTCATACTCTGTCGTTGAGTAGGTCGGTAGGATAGATTATTACGGTAATTATTCCTATCGTACTGATCTCTCCGTCTCCGTGGCAGCCTACTGATGTAGTAATAACGGAATGTACCGGCTCTGCCAGTGCCAGGATAAGCGCAGTCCATCGTTCGGCTACCATTGCACGAGTTTTCTAAATCCGCGTCTACAGTTCATGACACGCTTAATTAGCCAAAATCTTTAGATAGAACATATAATTCAAATTGTCTGGTACATGATTGACTGGCTAGTTTTAAATGTTAATGAATAAATTCCTTTTTGCTTACACTCATAGTACTGAGCCGATGAACTCTAAACGAAATAGAGAAGTCCCAATCCCAGGACAAAAAGAAATAGACTTTTATAGGCCATCGTTTTTAAGCAATTCTGAAGTGTAACAATCCTTCTAGCGATTCTTAAGCTCATCATGTGAAAATTAGCGTTACAATCGCTTTATGTATCTTGCGCGCTTTTGTCATGCAGATATACATACGCTGTAGAATAATAATCTCCTTTAAAGAAGAGCGATTTGTAGTTATGGACTAGATAGCTTATCGGTTTGGTGTTCTATGCCGTTCTTAAGTACGCTGGATTTGCTTATAGCAGCGCACAATGCAATTACAACAATATATTATTTTTTTCTCTTTTGTTGTTATATTTGCTACGTGATACGTGGCTTATTCTCAAAGCGAAAGTCACCGTTAAATATTCTTTCTTGTTCACTGCAGACTGAAACAACCAAGACCAGGCAATGCAAACCATGTTGTACGTTTATTACCTGTGGTACAACGGTTATGCAACAGCTTAAAACAACATAATTTTACAACATGAAAATTTCATTTAACTTTTCTGCTCCTTCCATCGTTCCCAAAACTGATGCAGCGTTTCCTCGTTGTATCACTAGTGACAGTCTTTGACGTAGAAATTTCCGTACACTTCCGTGTTTTCCGTACACCAGACTCTGTGGTGCCATTTCATCTAGCGGCTACAGTATTTCGATCTTCGCTTGCCACGTGAGTTCTTTGCCGACGAAGTCATGCATGCAAACCATACAATGCGACAACACGATGGATCTGCAAAGCCCAGTGGCCCGCGCTGAGGCGCTGAGTCTGAGTCTGACCCCTAAAAGGCTGAGTCTGACTACGGAAAGCTGAATCTGAGTACTGAAAGGCTGAGTCTGAGTATTAAAGTGCTGAGTTTTCCCAAGACTGCTAAGGTCATATTTCGATGACTTTAAACGTAGATCATATGAACTATGAAGCCGAGTATAGTCTCTTTCATATGCACTACGCTTTAACCCTTGACCGGAAATATGCGACATCTCCGCAAGATCTGCTCTGTAACACTTGTATTCTGTAGCCGCTAGATGAAATGGCACCACTTTTAAATCCGGGCGCTGCCTGCCCCTTGCCGGACAGCGCACACGTTATGTCAGCGCGTGCGCTGTTTTCCGTACACCAGACTCTGTGGTGCCATTTCATCTAGCGGCTACAGTATTTCGATCTTCGCTTGCCACGTGAGTTCTTTGCCGACGAAGTCATGCATACATCATACACCTGATTTTTTGCAATAATATAGATAGCTATACAAGTATTTCTAGTACGGAAATTTATTATACCCTTTCGGCCATTCCGCTTATAGAAAAACAAATAAAATCACAACGCAGTACACTCAATCAGCAGACAACAGCCTCGGGAGGTCTAAAAACAGAGAACAACTGATCTAAATTTGGTTCCGGACCAACTTCCGGTAGAGCTGTTTCCTGAACGGAGGTATTTTAAGTACATATTCTAGTACATATAAGTTTGGTAGTGTACCGAGTGAATGGTAGTGTCAAAGGTTGTGCACGGAATAAAAGGTGGTGCGAAAGGTTGTGTACGGAGTAACAAGGTGCGAAAGGGTGTGTGCGGAGTGGTCACCTAAAATAAATTCAGTTTTATTTTGGCCGTAAATGTTGAATAGCGGCTATAACAAAGGTTAATTCTTTCTTTCTGATCAAAATTTGTGTTGCTGCAGTTATACACGTAAAAATGTACGGTGCACGTACCGTATTCAATTACCGCATGCATTGCACTTTTATAAATTGCACTGTTTTGCATTGCCAAATAAAATCTTGCACTTTTATATCACGTAATTTTCAGCGTTGCATGTATGGGGATTCGCTGGACCAAATGTCGCATATTTCCGGTCAATGGTTAAAGCGTAGTGCATATGAAGGAGACTATACTCGGCTTCATAGTTCATATGATCTACGTTTAAAGTCATCGAAATATTACCTTAGCAGTCCTGGGAAACTCAGCACTTTAATACTCAGACTCAGCCTTTTAGTACTTAGACTCAGCTTTCCGTAGTCAGACTCAGACTCAGCGCCTCAGCGCGGGCCAAGCCCAGCGGCAGGTAGGGCGTGCACAACGGCAATGGCAGAACAGCACAATATTCGCGAGACATTCGTTTAATACCTACGAATGGGTTCCTGTTCCGAGCGGTCGGCGTGGAGATAGTGGGGCCACTCAAACCGGAAGCCTCCCGGCTGATTAGCGAAGTGGGCAAGATGATATGGCAGGAAACAGGCGAGAAACGTGCAACGGAGTTTTTGCGGCAGAGGTTCAGCATCGAAATTCAACGTGGAAACGCGGCATCCATCCTGGGAACGTCACCGGCTCGGCTAATTTAGAACAAATGTTCTCTGTAATCCGGCCGCATGTGACGTGTGGGGAGGAGTACATACGAGGACTCCACCGTACATCCACTGAATGTCCGCCTTTAGCTGCAAGTACAACACCGGATATCAGCTGATCAGTTCTGTGATTCGTTATTCGTTATGGCTTAGCGGTGTATTTGATGCTCACTTCGGCTAGTCTATAAATTTTCATGTCATCTCTACTATGTGGACGCAGTCTTGGATTTCTGATCTCGAGACTACTTGCTTTTAACTTTCCTTGTTTTGTGCATACGATTGTGTGTTAGCGAAGTAAAGCATCTTTTGTGGTTATCGACGTTCGTAATTGCATTCAGATTATGGCGTGGTAAACACGGTATGCTCGGGCTTCGTCCAACCCGCATGTGTATTGACCGGAAGTTAGAAGTATATCTCAACACAATCGCTTAGGGTTTCCTGATCTTCGTGTTCCTGTTACCCTACCCAGATTCCAGCATTTCCTATAATCCGCTAATACCCTTCCCGACGGAGACTAGAGTTAGCTATACCCAATGAGCAAGGCACGGAGGTGATCACAACGATCCCGTCCGGAGAGTTGTTAAGCTGATCGCGTACTTCTTTGTACCGTTGGCAGTTACACAATACGACACATGTTTCTGCTGTTTGTTAATATTACGATGTGATGTTTCTTTTGTGAATTTGTAATCTTGTCTTTGTATTCGATCAATAAAAATAGTGACGAATGCGTTGTACAAGCTTGTCCGGCAATTTCTGTCGTAAAGGTACAGCTAGCGCGAAATTTGCGCTTAAAATGATGGCCACGTCTCTACGCTTATCGGATTGCCTAAATGCGCTCCGCAGTTAGATTGCCCATTGCTACACCGACCATTTTCTAACCACCTTCAGCCAGGCAGTCACTGTTATTCTCAATAAATTATCTGGCGTGCACCAAGCCACCAGCCAGCCAGGTGCATGTTGCGTATTCAAGTAGTGTGGCGTGGCGCGCTGTAGCATAGAGTTTGGCGTAATACGCGGATTTGTATATTTCGCTGTATTGAACCGGCAGAAATTACCGGACAAGCTTGTACATCGTGAGTAAGGCGACTGCGCATTTTTTTTATTATCTACCTACACCTTCGGCAGAGCTGGATATTGAGCATGGCGCGACGTTAAGCCAATGGCGATCTGACCACACCTTTTGTTTATACCGCCAATCATTACTGTAGCAAAATAATTGCTGTCCTTCCTACAATCTGTGAAGGTTTGAATACTTGATTCCCAACAAGAGAAACGCACATTACTGATGAATACATTCGCGCACAATGGATAAAAGTGTCATGACGGTGGTTTTGAATGGCCAAAAACTTAAACCGGAAAGGCCAGTAAACACTTCACGACTTTCTGCATGGAGAAATTGTGAAGATAGACAGACTACTATCCAAGCCGAGTTTGCGCAAAGCTAGTTACATAGTCCGAAAACTCTCTGTACGTATCGATACATTTCTTGGATCCACCGGTGCGGAAGACCAACCCCGTTGATTCCGATGTGCCGGGGTCCACATTGGATATGGTCAGATTTCCCCGGGTGCACTCTACTTTGATCGGTTCGTAAAACGATGTTCGTTTCTGCCGCGTCTCGCCGAGTTTTGCGACAATCCACGAATGCAGATCGTGAAGGATCACGCGGCAGTTGAGGGTGTTGTCGCCGTCGAATATGGTCGTCACCGCGTCCACCAAATCCAGATTTGGCTCCGGAAGGTTCACCCGTCCGAGACGGCACGTAATGTTCAACGGATTAACGAGATATGACGGGAGCTCAACTGGGGCGGCAGTGACGGGAGGCCGAAAGCTCGTCGTATTCGCTGCAGCGGTGGTCGGGGTTGCAGGTCGAAAGGTTGTTGTGTTCCAAGCCCATGACTGTGTCGTTGACTGGTTGCTGCATTGTCGCCCATAAGCCGGGTTGAGTACCGTTGCATCAAATTCAAACAGAACATCCTGGTAATTGGATGGACAATTCACACGATCCGCCGATCCGTCCGTATCGCAAATAAAAACATTGTTCACGTAGGCCAACAACGCTTGACAGTATGTATTATGTGAGTCGGCCCTTTCTAGAATCAACATAACACAAAAGTATTTGACTGCGACTGCTGATTGTCACTTGTTTTAGGACAAACGGAAATAATTTACCTTCCACGATAACGAAATCGATAAGCGCATCATGGTAGTTGCTAGCGGGCGATGTGCTGCGAAAGTACTCGAACACGATGTGTGGCTGTTTGGAGTACAATGTCTTGGCTTGTGCCACTGATCTGGGATTGGTGGTTGCCGGTTGGCTGCCGTTGAAATGCTTCAGAGGAAAGAAACCGTTTTCGAGGATTTTGAGATAGTCAGTGGATGGCAAGTCAAATTTTCTAAGACACATCGATCGAACAATTAGTGCATGAATACATCATGATGTATCGTACAACATCAGATATTGACAATTTATTGAATTCATTGAATTTTCGACAGAAAAGCTTGGTAAAACTTTATCAAGCCGTTTTCGAGTTTGTTTTTACCGGATGTTAAGATAAATCGCGTAGGAATCCCAAAAGTTCCCGCAGTTGGGAGCCAGTGCGACTTCGAAGGAACACAGTCCCGGTGGCAACCTATCAGGGTAGTAGTAGCGGAACGTACCGGCTCTTCCGGTTTCAGGATAGGGGCATTCTAAGAGCAGACTTCCATTGCAAGAGTTTTCCAGATCTGCGTCTGCAATTTTCAGAACGCTTCAGCTAACCAATTTTCGCAGCATGGTACAGGTAATACAAGTGGCTTAGCACTTTTCGAAACATAAACTTATTTAATTTTCTGCTGGCTGGCAGACTTCGAATATTTTGCAACATAATAAAATGTCAATAGAAAAGTCATATGCCGATGTAGCATGTAATTTTCTGCCGACTTTTGTTTCAAAATTATCAGTCCAAGAAATTACTAAATTTAGGTATTGCTGCTTACATTGATAGTACTGGGCAGATGAACTCTTGACAAAGTAAATGATCCCCAACGAAAAGGCACAAAGCAGGACACTTTTACAACCCATTGCATCTGCATAAGCGTCTTACACTAGCGCACTGATCCGAAGAACAGCGTAAAAAGAACTGGTAAATGTTTCATGTTAATAGTCGCTTTATACGTTTCGGGAGCTTTTTTGACTTTGTCATGCAGATACGAAGCAAAAACAATGATTTCCTTTGGAGAAAGGCAGTTTACTCTAGAACGATAACTTATCGGCTTGCTACCTTCAAAGCACAATGGATTTCCTTTGGAGTTTGGACATCGCGTTATGCAACTACAATCGCTGATACTAGGTACTACAAGTATCTTTATCGCCGTTGTTGTTTTATGTGCTGCAGTTATTGTAATACAGCTGATACAGTATTATACTGTATGTCAACCATACGTCGCTGTACCTCGCATTACCTTAATTGTCTCCTCTTTTCTTAATTTTAATTAAGTTCTTTTAAGAGCTTTTGGCAGGCGACTGAAGAATCACGCGAGAAGAACCCTTTTAATCCAGTTATGCTGGCCAAAAACGTGATGTACATGTATTTGTGTTCTCTAAAAAACGTGTTCTCTAAGAAAGTATCCAAAGAAGATACAAAATGGAGAATGTTTCGGACGCAACGTTTTCTCACCAGTTTGAGTTTTCCACCTCTAAGAACTTGACACCACTGTTCAGCCCACCATGACAACAAAGTAGCAGACGCCCTGGATGGCGAAGGGCCGGTGCTGCTGACGGCCCCGATGGCCTGGAAAAGGCGCGCGTCGGTGGCCACCAGGCCGCAGTGGCCCAGAAGGAAGAAGCGGGCGTACCGGCCGCCCATGTGCCACACCTGCGGGAGGGAGTCCGCCAGACTGATCAGCCACACGCCCGCTACGAAGAAGACGGAAGACCGGCTGGAATACTGGCGGTAGTGGTGGGGCAGCCAAAAAGCGGTTAGCCTGTTGAATGTTGGCGGCCAGAATAGTCTACAGAATTACCGGCAACATAAGTTATTTAATTCATCAGGCAGTAATCAGTACACGTGCCACATACGGTTCATCTGTGCAGATCTACTTAAAAATGGTAAAATCTTAAGAAAATAAATTTCTGAATTGAGTGATTGACCTACAACATACCGGTAGAACTAAAAAGGCAATTACCGGCAAATTGGTCCGCTCTTCAAAATCATGATAATAACAAAGTCAACAAACTCCGTGTGACAAGCGTATAAATCGCCAGAGCTGGCTTAAACCGAGAAAAGGTTGTTTGCGCTATATTCAATAAAGGGAAATTATCTGTATTTTATAGACACATTTATTGTGAATGTTTTACGCTATTTGGCGTGACTGACCGTGTTCCAGTGGACCACGCAGAGCAAGGTGTACTGGAAGAACGTCGCCACCACGCAGTCCACGTATAGCGTCCATCCGGACTGCGGCCAGAAGATGGCGGCGTTGTGGTAGAACGCCACCAAGGTCAGGTTGATTATCTCCACGAAGAGCAGATGGATGATCAAGAGGTTGGTGCCTTCCCACCGGTCGGGCTTTGTGCTTAGCGCCGCACCCAGCAGGATGCCCGCCACGGCGCCCACGACGCAGATGGCACTGGACACCGCAAACCAGGTGATCAGTGTTTCGGGGCGGTGATGACTGTAGCATGCGTTGTAGCATTGCCCAAGGCCTGCGGTATCTCCTGCGGAAATTGCTGCGTGAAATTCGGCATGCTTAGAAGATTTCCTCCAATGATTCTTTTTAAAAAAATCACTGTGATGAATTCGGCATTCTTATTAATAAAATTCCTGAAGCAGGCAGAGCAAAGATTTGCGTGGCACTTGCATACTTAACTGTACAAGGCGCACACACAGTTTATAATCCATTGCCAGTTGTGAGTTACTTTCTACGGAATATGCGGAAGGCTAAATAACGCAGGTGGAGTAACCTGAGTATTGGGAAGAGGTGAATGCTTGTAATCCAGTCGGCGCAGGCGAGTTATACTGAGCTAGCGACAAGTCGCTTTAAAAAATTCAATAACTTGGAACTACCTCAACATAATTAAGTATCAACGGGCCAGTAATATCGGGATACCGCAGTATTACAGTGTATTCCGCAGAATTCCAACGAGAGCAACAGTTTGTGAGGACAGCGCAAGGTACGTTGTTCACCGCTGGTTTTCATTCAGCGGATGCACTGGGTGGTGCGCGGACCGCTTCCGGCCGGATAAATTATCCCTTATGCATCTTACGCACTCAGTCACTGTAGCTCTACTGTACAATATAGTCAATTGGTACTGTCACACAGCGGCAGTGGCCGTATAGATTAGCCGGTTATGCTATGATACTGTACAGCTACTGTACAATGAAACTACGTACCCACAGTGTTATCTTGCAATCCTTGCAGACGGATCGAAAAATTAATAGCTTGAATTTTTATGCGGTAGCTGGAGAATTAAATTCTGCTTCCATAATCTCCATACATTTTTACGTCACATGGCTCAGATACGAGCAAACTAGCAGTTATTCGCAGTGCAAACAATAAACGAACAATTGTCGAGTATTTTGGAAGTACATTAACCGATCAGAAGTCAAAAATTTCGAAGTACCGAATAGAATTAGAAAGGGCATTCTGAACGCGTTCACTCCAAACCGGAGAAATCGGGAACATCAACAGACTACCCAACCCGATTTCCCACAAAACCAGTCACATATTCCAAGAATTCTCTATAAGTGTCGATACAATATTTGGAAGCACCGGTACGGATGGCTAAACCGGTTGATTCAGATGTGCCGGGGTCCACATTGGAGACGGTCAAATTTCCCCGTGTACACTCCACTTTTATCGGCTCATAAAACGATGCTCGTTTCCGTCGCGTCTCGCCGGTTTTCCCGACAATCCATGAATGCAGATCGTGGAGTATCACGCGGCAGTTGAGGGGGGTGTTGTCGCCGTCGAACACGGTCGTCACCGCGTCCACCAGATCCAAATCAGGTTCCGGAAGTTTCACCCGTCCAAGACGGCACGTGATGTTCAACAGATTGATCAGATACGACGGGACTTCACCTGGAGCGGCGGTGACGGAGGGCTGGAAGGTCGTCGTGCGCACTGGAGCGGCGGTCACAGTTGGTTGAAAATTCGTTGTATTCCTAGTCCATGTGGATGTCGTTGGCTGGGTAATATTTGTACACTGCCGCCCTTGTGCCGGGTTGAGTCCATCCGCAAAAATGGAATTAGAACCCGTTGGACAGTTGACGCGATCCGCCGATCCGTCCGTATCACAAACGTGGATATTGTTACATTACCTTGGAACGCGAAGCACCAAGTGTTGTGTGGATAAAAATTACCTAGAATGGACGCAATACAAAAGTATTCAGCAGCAACGGATATTTGTTCTTGATAACCATTCGAAAAGAATATCATTCATTACTTTCATAGATAACAAAGTCGATAATCGCATCGTGAGCACCGCTGACAGGAGATGAGCTGCGGAAATACTCGAACATGATGGATGGCTGTCTTCTGTACGTGAGGGTCGATGCTTGTGCTACCGATGAAGGGTTGGAGAGTGCGGGTTGGGAGCCGTTTAAATCCTTCAGAGGCCACTGACCAGCACCAACAGTTTGGTAAATTTTTATATAATCACGGGAGGGCAGATTAAGCTTTCTAGAAAACATTTAGCGCACATATAGCGAACGGACTACAAAATCCACATATGTAGAAATATATTAACTTTATGCGGAAACTGGCTCACTGAGTATAACATACAGAGTACAGCGATTTAAAAATGAGCATCGTTTTTGTACCGGATATTAAAATAAAACGCAAACAAATCCTCATCGTTCCCGCAGTTGGGAGCCAAAGTAACGTTGAAGTAACATACTCCTCGAGGTAACCAACTGATACAGTAATAGCGGAATGTGCCAGCTCTGCCAGTATTATTATACGGGCACTCTAACGTCAGATTGCCATTGCAAAAGTTCTCCAAATCTGTATCTGTAAACACTATAACGTTACAGTAAAACTGCTAGCGCGAAGCTCAGAAAGTAGATTTAGAGAAACTACGACTTACTAGAAAACAGTTCAATGCCAATCGGCAAATAAATAATTAGCGGTTGAATATGTAACTACGTACAGAGTAATGGTTCAGCTGCTGAATAATTACTTGCCTCGGTATTCCAACTACCAACCAGTATCTCTTACTTTGATAGTACTGAGCCGATGAAGACTGAACGAAGTAAAGAAGCGTGAGTCCAAGGACCAAAATGACAACTTGGCCAAGACCGGCCATTTTTTTGTACAGATCTCTGAATAAGTGCGGGAAGCCACTGCAAAAACCACTCGTGAGAATTAGAGTAATTGTTGCTTTATATACGTACGAGTATATCTCGACGGCTTCTATTTTATAGAAGTACTTGCGCTGCTGATACGACAATTGTCTTCCAACAAAAAGGCGGCTAACACTAGATAGCTTATCGTCGTGGCTTTTCTGTATAACGTAAACGGTAAAGATTGGTTTTCTGGAAAGGATTTGCGCGTGCTGGACAATTCACTTGTATTATTGTGGAAAAAGATGTGCTACGTGCGCTGCGTCTTGTAGTGAGGGTTTGGTATTTCACAATGCCTTTTACAGTGGCAAAATTACGGTGTAGTGCAGTACGATTGTCAATAAAATGACTTCACTGCTTTGACCGAACACTGCCGTCCGATTCCCATGCAGTTACGCTGGTCGTAAAGCTGGACGGTTAACAAGACCGCCTTTATCACAAAAATTAACATAAACGTATTATCGTTTGCAATGCCGTCAAGCCCACCGCGTGACCGCAATCAGTATTACGTCTTTGAAGCATCTAAACGAAAAACAAAATGACTTTGAATTGATGAGCTTTGCCAACTAGTGCTCGTAGGCTGCCATGGCGACTGGCCCAGCACTAGTTCAAGAGACACGGTGAACTGCATAAGTATTTAGACAAGTGCGCTTTCTCCCTTTCCGTTCACCGTGTCTCTTGAACTAGTGCTGGGCCAGTCGCCATGGCAGCCTACGAGCACTAGTTGGACAACCTGCGGCGATCAAGGATCAAAGCCGACTTAATTTAGTAGCGGGTCGCGGCTCGTTGTGGTTTCCTAGTTTTGCGCAAGGAACTTTGGCTAATACTTTAACACGACGAACTTGAAGCTATTTGGCAACAACATAAAACCTACGGCCAGTTGTACTAGCCAACTTCAGAGGCACACCACTTTACTACTAGAATAATTCGGCGTTGCTTGTAATAAAAATTGTCGCCGGTGCTGTTTGATAGTTCCTTAGTTTCGCCCATGTTCAACCAGTTTTTCAGGCAATTGGTTTTAGAAAGCCGCATTCCCTGTACTTGTTATCAGTATTTAATTCACTATCACAGGAAAAAAATATGATGCCATCTATAAAAGACCTTTTCAAGGCATCAAATTGGGGAAAAACAAGAAGACGGATGACAAATTAATTAACCCGATTTCCCACAAATCCCGTGATATAGTCTAAAAATTCCCTATACGTTTCGATACATCTCTTAGATCCACCGGTGCGGAATACAAAACCCGTTGATTCCGATGTGCCGGGGTCCACATTGGATACGGTCAAATTTCCGCGTGTGCACTCTACTTTAATTGGTTCGCAGAACGATGCTCGTTTCTGTCTTGTCTCGCTGGTTTTCGCCACAATCCACGAATGCAGATCGTGGAGAATCACGCGGCAGTTTAAGGTATTGTCGCCGTCAAACACGGTCGTCACCGCGTCTGCCAGATCCAAAGCAGGTTCGAGAAGGTTCACGCGTCCGAGGCGGCACGTAACGTAATGTTCAACGGATTAATGAGATAAGACGGAAACTCGCCCGAAGCAGCAGTGACGGGAGGCCGAAACGTGGTCGTCTTTACTGTAGCGACCGTTGCGGTTGGTCGAAAGGTCGTTGTATTTAATAAAACTTGCGTCGCGGTTTGATGTCTCATGCATTCCGTCTCCTGAATATTTTCTAGAAAATTCGACCTGCCCCCAAATGATTATATCAAATACTACCGATCTGGTGCAACGCATTACCTTGTAAAGCATTTAAATGGCAGTCTCCCGGCAACCACCAACCCTGCATCGGTGGCCCAAAGTATGTTTGCGCCCTCCAGTCAACCATCCATCACTTTCGAGTACTATCGCAGCTCATCGCTCGCTACCAGCTATTATGATGCGCTTATCGATTTCGTTATCTTTGAATGTAAAGCAAGATAACATTAAATTTTATGCTATTATAAGTAACAATTAGAAGTTGGAAGTTGTCAAACTGTTTTTGTGCTATAAAACTTGCGAGTATACTTGCCATTTTAGATACAAACGCCTCACACAACACATACTGTCGTGCCTTATCGGCGTACGTTAACAATCTCTTTATTTGTGATACGGACGGATCGGCGGATCGTGTGAACTGTCCATCTTTCTTTCCTGCGGCTTCGCAAACAAGCCTCAATCCGGCTCCCGGACGGCAATGCCGAAACGACCCAACGACACCGGCTTGGAACGCAACAACCTTGCGACCATTTTTTCAAAATTTAAGTGACCATAGGTCAAGCAGGGCAAGACCATGTCGAAGTAACACGCATGGAAACCATGTTGCCCCGACATGTTATGTTATTCATTGCCTTTTATAACAAATGACAAAACAGTCGCACAGAGTACGTCAATACCGCAAACAACAGATCTCAAAAAGCACTTTGAAACATTTTTGATGCAATGGTCGTCGAGATAACCAGCGGTCAACAAAAATTAAAATGCAAGAAAACATTAATGTGAGTGGGTATACATGAAATGTCAGAATGTTGTGCCAAAAAAAAGTTCGAACAACGTTTCTTTACGCAACAACCACCTTTACTATGATCTTGTATCCTGTAAAGAAAGACATCCCATTTGTTACGAGATAGCGTTTAGTAAAAATTACCTGTTCACTGCGTGGGAGGACTGGTAGCCGTTTGCAAGGTCTGAAAAGGCACCGCTGCCGCATAATGCTTATCTTGACCGCTTGACGTTGCCTTCTCTCAACAACGTATTTCCGGGTGGGCGGTCTGACCATCGGCCACCATCCCACTTTTGTGCCGGCAGTGTTTGCATCAGTCGTGTCAGTTATTTCTGTTCTCTATCATTCTCTGCTTTTCCCACAAAGTTGAGCAACCGGATAATCTAGCGGTGGTCGCTAACCACATTACTGCACGAGCGCGAGCTCCAATACCACTGAGCAGTGGTACTGGATTTGTTGAACTGGAAAAAGGCATCGTACGCTCTTCATGGCGTCAGACAATTTTTATATTCTTGACGAACGTTTAACTGCAGCGTCTCGCTGCGCTCGATGCAAATTACAACCTCAAAACCGGTGTGGGTGTAACATCCAGTGCGGTCGGCAGTTAATCAGTATAACACGCCACATGAAGCCGGTTTCGTTCTCATTATAGTATCATACGTAGTAGAAGACTAGATGTAACCAACTGTTGCGAAGCAGCGAAATACTACGATAACTATTTTATATCCGAAATTTTGTCCCCTTATAAATACTACTTATACAAGTTAAAGTCTGCCGTTGAGGGAAAAAATTGCTTTTGCATAATCTTTTAGTTTCACATGTAAACGTTTAGCTGAGGCGCGCCACTTGGTTGAAACCTGCAGCTGCATGAATTGGCAGGGAGAACGATTTCGCTATCATAAAGCTGTTTGACATGTTTAAAAACATAATAATATAATTATGAACCTAACAGTTCCAGATTTGGACAAGAAATGCAATCAGAGCCTGCAGTTAGACTGTCCCTTTACGTACGCCGGACGAGCCGGAACATTCCGCTATTATCGCATACCCGACCTGTCACCGGGACTGTGCATGTTTGACGTGACAGTGCCAGCCGACTGCGGGATATCAGGCGAGCTGTTCGCCTTCTATTTCAACATTCGGTGCGTTAAATACATATCGAAGAATTCATTGGTGCGCACGCTCGTAATGCTTTTATAATTAATTACAGAAAATTTCTTCTACCGTCCAACGATCATATCCGAATCTATCAAACCGTCGGATTGTCACCGCGCATTCTTCTCAAAGAGTTGAACGGTTCCCACTCTGCGCGGTCCAACCCAACGTCGGTTGCGCAAGCTCTGTCATCCTACGTTAAACAACCATCCTTTACTTTCGAATATTTCCGCGGCACATCACCCTCTACGGAGTCGCATCAGGCTTACATCGATTTTATTATCGTTACAAGTTAGAAAATACGAAACGTGTACTGCTGAATGCAGTTAAAGCATTCTAAGCCATATTTTGTGGTTATAATAGAGGGTCCGGAATTACTGAGTGCTCCCTGCACCGCTTTGTCGGGGTATGTGGACTTTTATTTCATCTGTCATACGGACGGAATCAATGATCGCGTCAACTGTCCGGGCAGTTTCACTGCCGATGTGTATGCAGTGAATCCGGCCGACCAGAGACAAACATGCCCTTTCAGTTCCCCGCCAAGTTTAGGGAACAAACAACCAATACTTGAATACTGGGATACACATGGCACACCAGGTACACAACAATGCAATTTGCTTAGTTGATATGGTTGCTTCGGTGAAAATATCCTGGAAAGTGGGAACCATAGATGATGTGTTCGCACCATATGGAATAAATAAATTAAATAAAGTCATAGATGGAAAGTAAAATCGAGAAATAACGAAAATTGTTGGATGAATAAGCTGTTGTTCAAACCACTTCCTACAAATTTTTATGCGCTACTCTATCACTTGCATTGACCACGAGCAACAAATTAACAATCAGTAAAAGCACTGCATTCACTACGGCATTAAGTGCTCAAAAGTGATTATCAAATTGTTAAATATACGGTCTAGATCAACGAAACTTACTAAGCCTTATTTTTCAGGCAGTCATAAGTCTGGCGTGAGCTACGATGCCATTGTCGTAATTGTCGGTGGATTTATTTTACTGGCCTTGATCATTGCGGCAATTTACGTGATTCGCCCTATCTGGTTACGTCGCCCAGCCGAAACATCGGTCGACCTTCAACAAGCGGCATCATGAAGCTAGAGCCACTACTGGTAGTTGCGCCGTATGCTGCTACTAGTTGCCCTGAGGTGTTCGATAATCCTGTAGTTCCTGTTGATCCCCCTCCACTCTTTCCGGGAGCACCGCCTTCGTATTCACAAATCACTGCAGCACCAGCAGTAGTCGGCATCTCTCTGTCGAATCCGCCATCCTATCAGTTATGAATCAAGCTTCGAAATTCGGCAGTACAGAGACAGCGTGCGCATCTTGATCATGTCCACGTGAGAGGCGATTTCTCAAGACCAGCAGATAATCCTAAAGATTGCTCTGTTTCGCGTTTCCACATATTGAATGCCTGTTAAATTCTGCGCAAGTCAAGTTCGATGGCGTTCAAGTACTATTGTTGTCGCTGACGTTCATTGTTTGGTTAGGTCATGATGCCACAAACCCTTGCTCCTCGAAGAA